CCAAAAAAAAAAAAAAAAAAAAAAGGAAAAGAAAATAATAAAGATTAGAGCAGAGATAAAAGAGAACAGAAAAGTACAAAATTAAGAATTTATTTTTTGAAAAGATCAATAAAACTGACAAACCCTTACCTAGATTAACTAAGAAAAAAATACAACTCAAATAAAATTAGAAATGGCAGAGGATACATTACAACCAATTCAAGCAAAATGAATTTTAAGAGAACACTATGGGCAACTCTATGTCAACAAATAGGATAACCAGAAAAACATTTTTAAAAAAAACTTATGAAGACTGAATCATGAAGAAATAAGATAGCTGAACAAACATACCTATAACTTGCAAGAAGATTGAATCAGCATTCCAACAACAACAAAAAAATCAAAGACCAGTTTGGCTTCATTAGAGAATTCTACCAAATTAAAGAATGAACACCAATCCTCACCAACTCAAAAACAAACAAACAAAAAAACCAAAGAGGAAGCAATATATCCAAATTAATTCTATGAGGCCAGCATTATTCTGATACCACAGGCAGACAATGACATTACAAAAAAAGAAAATTACAGAGTGATGTCCCTGATGAACATTGATTTAAAAATCCTCAACAAAATAGTAGCAACCAAAATTCAACAATACATTTAAAGATCTGAACACCATGACCATGTTCCACACTTACTCCTGCAATGGAAGAACGCTGCAACATGAGACAGTGAATTAATATTCCACAATAACTGAAAGAAGACAAAAAAAAAAGCAAAACACTTGATCATCTCAGTTAATACAGAAAAATCATTTGAAAAATAAAAATCAACTCCCTTTCATAATAAAACTACTCAACAAACTAGAAATAGAATGAAACTACCTCAACATAAAGAGGCCATATATAAAAAGCAGAAAATACAGGTGCTTTTTAAAAGTTTATTTGGCCAGGCTCAGTGGCTTAGCCTGTAATCCCAGCACTTTGGGAGGCTGAGGTGAGCGAATTGCCTGAGCCGTCAGGTTCGAGACCCACCCGGGCAATTTGGTGAGATCTCTTCTCTACAATAAATCAAAAATTAGCCAGGCATGGTAGCACACTCCTGTAGTTCTGGCTACTTGGAAGGCTTAGGCAGAAGGACCGCCGGAGGCCAGCGGATTGAGGCTGTAGTGAATGGGAGCATGCCACTGCACTAAAATCTGGGTGACAGAGTGAGACTCCAACTCAAAAATAAAAGTTCATTTATACCTCATTCCCTGTCCATGATGGGGAAAAAAATACAGTTTTTATAAACAACAATGGAGAAGTACTTGAAGTGCAAGAAATGAGCTAAATATAAATTAAAATAAGATATTTAAATATTAATTTAGTATACCAAGATGGATATAATGAATCCAGATAGAAGGATATTTATTAAAATACAGTGTTTGTTTTGAGAAAGAAAAAAAAGTGAAATTTAAACAAAATCCAACAAGTTATAAATAGAAAATTAAAACATACTATTGAAAAGTAGTGTATCAGCCGGGCTCGGTGGCTCAGCCTGTAATCCTGCACTTTGGGAGGCTAGGTGACTGGATTGCCTGAGCCCGCGGGTTCGAGATCCACCTGGGAAACTTGGCAAGACCTCATCTCTACAATAAATCAAAAAAAATTAGCCGGGCGTGGTAGCACATGCCTGTAGTTCCAGCTACTTGGAAGGCTGA